TTCCGGGCGCGTGTCACCTGCACACTCCAGATGCACACGTCCCGGAAATTTCCGGAGATGCAACCACTTTTTGTGTGCAGAACTCTTTATTTATCCAGTTATTTTCTATTAGTAATGCTCTACCTGGGTGTCTATCCTTCATAATAAATAAATGGTTTTTATTGTCCAAACAGTACCCGTGCAGTCGCAGCCTTTCAACGGCTGAATTGATGCAGGGTATCACATAATAATCAATACAAATCACAACAATTACAACAATCAAATAATACAAATAGTACACATATTTGTTCCACAATCATGTCGCAAGGGTCTGTGCGGCTGCCATTCGGCGCCACAAAGTGACCTCAATACGACTTTCCCCAACCGAAGTTAGGTACCCATTCACACCTGGGTGGAGTGGGGAAATTCGTGTAAAGTGCCTTTCCCAAGGGCACAACGTCGGGGCGCATGTCCCGGGTACGACCCGGAATCGAACCCGGGTCTCCCGGTTCACAATGGATTGCTCTAACCACTACACCACCCGACGCCACACTCGACACTTCATGAGACATTAATGACTCAATCAACACCGACCAAATCAGTCATAGCAACTCATCACCGATTCTGTACTCAGCATTCCGCAAATCGAATTTGGAAATGGACATAGACTGATTACAAGAATTTACCTTCTCTGACGTCACACGGAGTGGACATCGTCACCAGCTCAGTCACCTCGTGAAGCGGCAGTTTCCTCAGGACGTTCCGGCCATCGGAACAGTTCACCAGTTCCACCACGTGCACGCCATCCCTGTTAGCAAAGCAGACTTCTCTTCCCAACACCCTCCAGCTCAGGGCGTCATCAATGACGTCAAACAGTATGGACTCTCTGATTGGTGAGCAGGTTGTCATGACAACCACGTTGTTGGGAAGAAGTTCAAGACACTGTGACGTTTCTCCGTTCCGAAGAGTTCCTTCTGCGGTGTGCAGCCAATGGTTCCGAGGCCGTTGCGTCAAACAAGGTCCAATCTGTGGTACACTTGTGGCGCCGTCCCCATACATACACGAGCACGTCATTCGTGGAGTCCATTCGAAGAGAAGATAAGCTGAAAAAAGATCATAGATTTGCAACGGTGAGAGGAGACATATTACTTATATTTGGTGATTGCATTGTATTCATATCCAGTGCATTCCTAACTTAGATAAAAAGCAAAGAAAATGTATGATCGCCATTCATGATCATTTCAGTTGTTTATTACGATGAGAGCAGCTTGAAATATGGAAAAATGTTGGTTAAAAGTGACGAGAAATATCAATCTGTTGTTGCACGGTTCAGTTGATTATATTGAATTCCAAGCTCTCAAACCGATTCACGTTCACTGCATTGTTAGTGAAATCGCAACCAAACCTGGCCAAACAAATGAAAATTTGTCATTAAACAATGCATAAAAAAATAACTGGAAATATACTAACTTTCAAAATGCCTCTCAAAATATGAGACGCTTGGATCCGTGACCAGTCGTTCCAGTCGGTCTTTAGGAGCCGCCCATCCGAACATCTTGCAATATCTCGTACCGGCCTTGTACTGGAAAGACTGGCAGAAAAACGCGGGTTCTTCCAAACACTTGATCGCGCAGTCAGCAAGAGACAAATTATACGCTTCGGCGAGTACCGACATTGGTGAGCTTCTACCGATGTGTTGCCGGAATCTTGCGAGTGCAGGTATCAATTGAAAGTCTGTAACATAAATATGTATGTAACTAAGGTGAAAATTTTGTGCATTCCAGAAACAGTCTGGTCTTAAGCAGTTTGTGCTTGTTGTGTTAGGTCTAAAGGGTATGACAAAGAAACAAACAGACCTTTGCTGATTTTTTTCCAGAGTAACAAAGAAACAGACAGACCAAACGTGTTTCAAAGAAACGGTCTTACCTTCCGGAAAGGCCGTGATGAATTGTGCCTCAATGAAGCCGCTGGTGGAGGCAGCTGTATACGTGCTGAGGACAGTCATCTTCACGGAGTCTGTTTTGATCGTGTCGAAGACGAACTCATCGTAGTAAACTTGCGTCACGTCGTACTGGTCACTTCCCTCACGCTGCCTGAGTTCGACCTGCGGGTCGTACAGCCACATACATCAGATAACAACTAAAGGCGTGTGACTTTAAAACATTCATTTACTTCGTTGATGTAAAATGATTGTTCTCCAAGATACATGTAATGAACTAACATACAACATTCATTATCAGCAGCGAATCCTGGACAACATCCTGCCTGGGGAAGAGGGACGGGAGTCTATATTACAAGATCGAAGAGAAGGTACTCACGTCTTCATAGGACCCGTCGCTGAACGTCAGCCTGATTGTCCTACTTTGGCCTGTGATCCATGTAGACTGTGCGATCTTGGCTCGGTTGATGAAGTAGTATCCATCGAACTTCAGCTGAACCCACGAGCCGACCCCCTGCGAACTCAGCCAGCCGAGCTGCCCCGGCCGTGGCGTCAGCTGACCGTCAATGATGCCGCCACAGGTAGCGGCGTTTTCTGACGCGCCCACACACTGCCCGCCTCGGGACAGAACGGCGACGTTTATTCCTCCGATATTTGCTGTAAAGGAACCAAGTGAATCAGATGAATATCATCATTTATAAAAATCCAATGCTATGCTACGCTTTTTACGCTACTTTTACCAACATGAGTGGAAAAGCTATTGATGGATTGTGATAAAAGTGTATGTTATCATGTAATGTCTACTATCACTACCTTCATCGGAGACAGGGTAAACCTCGAGTTCGCTGAACTGCAGAAGTCGCGCCTCTCCCAGACGGATCCCCACATACCGACCCCGCAGGCCTCCACACGAGACGGTTAGTTCTGACTGGTTGACGGCGATGCTGTGGTTCTGCCCGCATTGAGGGTTTGCCGACACGTGCCGATGGTCGCCGACGTGGATGAAGAAGGGGTTGAGGTCGACAGAGCCGGGTTTGACCACAGTCACCCTGTCGATGGACCACTGTCGGTCTAAGTCCACATACCACCAGGGATGCACTTCTGGAGAATCAAATGAGGGCCATCGACTTTCTTGTTAACGTTATTTAGTTGATCGTACTTCCATGTATCTAGTATTGCCGCACGTTCCAAAGGTCTGAGCTTTTGAGACTGTAACCAAGACTTCAAAATGGAACGGTCGTGCCCAGATGGACGGAAATACGACAAGGAAACGTAATGTGTGATTTTGACACGGAAATGATGCCATAGCATACAAAGACCGGAAGAACAAAGGGCAGCCGCCAGGAGGACAAAAGCGACCTTGACCTTTGTATTCCCAAGACCTCCTTTAAGTTATGCTGACCACAAATTTATATGTGGAAACAAAAACAGACCAGACACAACGTGTACAATAATGTACGCAACATCTCTCAAAACGCCCAAAATAGAAAGCGCAAACGTCAAAATTGTGAACCTAACCTGATGGAGAGACTTGACAAATAAACTTCCTGTCGGTTTTGGTACACGGTGCATCGTTCCATGTGTTCTTTTCGGGGAGGGCTTCGGGATAGTACTCGGCACAGTCCTCGTTACCACGAAAGTTGTTGGGGTTTCTTGGGCTCCAAGGTCTGAAGTCACCCAGAGGAACGTTATCGTCCCACATCCAAACTCCCTCCTGGTGGCCATCAGTCAGTCCAAAACGGAACCTAGCGTTGTTGTCGACGGCATTTTTCAGATCGATGAGGAAGTTGTTGGTTGCGTTGTCGCGGGGCATGGCAAGGGTTCCCCCGTCTAAAGAACACTTACTGACTGCACCGTTGTAGGCTGTCCTGTCGTTGAAGGCCTTGTAGCACAGGCGACTAGATTGATGGTAAACGTACCCGTCTGGGCAAACTATTTCAGAACGAACAAGAGTTCATGTCACTTCTTCCCTAGCCCAAGAGCTAGTTACCATGCAAAATTCGTGACTCTAGCATGTCCAGATCATGAGATATCAAACCCGGCAGTTCTGCTGCAGTACCAACAAAAGCCGCCAGGGGGCCCAAAATCTAATCATTTATAGGTCTCATCATGACCTACCCACCTACCAAGTTTCATGACAATGCATATTAAGTTTCTGGAGTTATGATGTTCACAGACAAACAGACGCTAACAGACAAACGGGCGCAGACGGACAAACGGACAAACGCTACTGAAAGCATAACCTTCTTGGCGAAGGTAAAAGGTCTAAAGCTTACCTGTTTAATCTTCAAACTACGTTTGCGCCGCTAGAAAGACTTTATTACTATTAGCCCATTACTAGAAATATCGATTATATAGAGGCCAAGGGTGCATACCTTGCAGTTGCAGCTGGCAGATAAATCCCCTGAGGTTGCTGCAGGCTTTCTCATCCCAGAAGGATCCGTTCCCCCAAAATCCCACACAGCCACCGGTACCGTAGTCGGGTTGTGGTTCACCGGGGAGCCAGTTGGCATAGCCGGATGATGTCAGGGTCTGGCCGTCCTCAAATACCCACTGGCCGCCATTGTTGACGTCAGTCAGCCCAAGCCAGCTACCCCATACTACGTCTGCTAGATTAGCAAGAAAAGTATTGGTGGCACTGTCCTTCGGCATGGCTAAAATCCCCCCGTCTGCTGCACAGACCTGTCCAGCCTCATCGTGCGTCTTCTGCTGCGTGAAGCTCTTGTAGCAACTAAGGTCAAAACCAACGTAGCCAGGAATTGGACAACCTGTTGAAAAAAAAGATTCATAAGAGTTCCACGACCTCATATCTTCGCCAAATGTTAACCCTTCCAGTTGACGAATTATACATTTTTATGGGTTCACCACAAAGTGGTGAAACCATATTGCTTTTTCTCATGA